TGTTTTGACTCGTTTATTGCAAACACATTCTGGGTATATGCTACCTTCGACGGATACACGGTCATTCTACAAAATGGCCACGTGGAAGGTTCATCGGTTTATGATAAATAACAATGGCACGCTTAGAATGTGATAACCTGACAGCTTTTCCAACAGCGGAGGACCCAGCCTCGTGCAATGAGCAGGTGCCCGTGGAGCCTTTTACAAGAATGTTTAGAGGATGTATATTGTACAAGCTATATCACTAGAAGTTGAATGGAACACTAGGCTGATTGTAGTTGTAGCCAGTGTTTGCAGCACAATCACCAGGCACGGTCTGGGTGGCCGTTATAGTATTTACCACGTTGTTAGTAAAATAGACTGTGGAAACGACAGGGTTGTCGACGGTTTGTGTGCGGTAAACTGTAGAAACAGGGCCGGCTACTGTTACAACCTCATTCACTCGCTGGGTCTCTGTGACTGCAACTGTCTGTTCTACCACAGACACTCGGGTAGACACTACAGACTGTACAACAGTGGTGGGTACTGTTACAGTGGAAACAATTACGTTCTCTTCAGTCTGAGTTATTATCTGAGTCTCGTAGCTAATCACAGTTGTTGGGACAACCTGAGTGTCGACTTGGGTTTGTGTCTGTGTGCTGAACTGGGTGCGCTCTACTGTTTGGGTCTGGGTGTTCGTGACGAATTGGGTATTGTAGATGGTAGTGACAACAGGCACCAGCTCCGTGGACACCACTTGAGATGTCACGGCCGGAAGGGTAGATACTACTTCGTCAAGGACTGTAGAGACGATTGTGTTGGTATTGATAATAGTCTGACCGGGAAGGGTCTGAGTGACGACAATGGTGTTGGTGAAGTATTCGGTATTGACAATTGTCTCAGCTGGCAGAGTGTCGGTGACTGTGTTGGTGACATACTGTGTCTCAAATTCAGTGATGGTGGTAGGAATGACCTGTGTAGAGTATTCAAACTGGACAAGAGTCGTAAGGACAGTGCTTGTTTGCACTTCAACACGAGTGCTTTCGACAACGACTGTGGAGACAACTGTCTCAACGTTTGTAGAGAAGATGGTCTGAGCAGGAAGAGTCACAATAGATGTGTCGGTTACCGTGCTTGTCTCTGTGCGGGTGTTTGTGATATATTCAGTATTGTACACTGTGTTAACCACAGTCTCTGTATTAGTAATGGTCTGAGCTTGAATATCAACGTAAGTAGAGATGTCGGTACTCGTTACAACAACATCATTATAAATGGTAGTTGGGACGGCCTCAGTCTGAATCTGCACGTTAGTTTCGGGCGATGGTTTCACATGTTGCGTCTCCTGCAGGCTCCTTCACAGGTGGCAGATATCCCCCTAAGACTTCGTTGAGGCTCGGGTCTGGAGCGCCGGCGAAGGAGGGCTCGAGGGCACCCAGTTTGGCCGCCCAGGAGCTGTGAGTCAGCGCTATGAGGAGAAGCAAGGTTACGCTTCGACCCATCCTGTGGGAAATGGAACGATGAAATGTGATGAACAGTTGCACTTAAAAATATTATTTGTAAGCCAATAACTTAGGTTTCACCAACAACTTACCGATTCTCCTTTCTGTTATATTATTGTAAAGGTGATTTAATTAACAGTTGTACTTTCTGTAAGTTTAATGTGTACATATACAAAGTACTCTTTATGGTAGAGTTATGCGCAGCATATAAACTCCATCATCTCTCCTCTCACAAGGCAATACAGTAATTCCCTAAATCGTTTTCTCGTATATACTTGAAAATGCTTGAAGATATAAATATTGGTGCAACAAACACAGAACTGCTAGCCGGCAATAGCAATGGCACATCACAAACATGTTGACAGAGTTAACGCTTGTCCTACTCATGAAAGGATTGAATCTGTATAACGTCGTACAATTATTATGGTTTACTTTTATTGTACGTAAAAATAGTTAACCGAAAGTGAAGGGGCGGGCAGGGGCGTTGTAGTTATAGCCAGTCTGGGTCTGTTGGCAGGGTGCAGTCACCACCTGATTAACAGTCTGTTCTACTGTGTTACCAACAGTCTGGGTGATGACTTGGACTTGATCTTTTGTTACAGTAACAACTTCTTCGCGTATGTCTGCAGCGCCTGTGATGGTCTGGTAATCAGTGGCTTGAACATAAGCGGTACTGGTGACGAAACGCTCGTCCAGCTGATCCACCACTTGTGTGGATGTTACCACCTGTTCCACATACTGGGTTTCAAACTGTTGACGATCTTCCACTAGGGTGCTAGTCTGGGTCACTACCTCATTTCTGACCACAGTTGATGTAACATAATCTATGCGATTATCTGTAACTTGTACTACTTCAGTGCGTGTGTTCTCAACAGTTGCAAAAGCTTGCTCTGTCTGTACCACTTCTTGATACTGGGTATCTACTTGAGTCTCAGTAACGATCTGGGTATTAACGACAGGCAGTGGAGTCACAAAACGGACAGACTGTTCAGTCTGGACAACAACAGTGTCAACGACGGATGTGACATCAGGCAGCTGAGCCACTTCAGTCCGCTCGTCTTGTTGGGTCTCAACAACTGTGCTTACGATAGGCTGAGGCGTGAACACTGCCGTCTCCACTCTTTGCTCCTGCTGTGTCTGTGTCTCAAAGGCAGTTGTTACTGCAGTTTCCACCTGTGTGCTGGTAACCTGGACAGGCTCTGTGACCTGGGTGATGCTGGTGTCCACCTTCTCATTAACCTGTGTGGTTGCTACTACGCTAGTTTGAGTCACCTGCTCAACTACAGGTTCAGGCTGGAAAGGAACTTCAGCAATGCGTGTCTGCACTGCCTGCGCAACCTGCTCATAGGTTTGAGTAACAGGAACTTGAACCTGGCGGCTCTCTGTCTGGACCATGGTGGTGGTGACAGCCTGCACTTCTGTCACTACAGCCTGGGCTTGGGCAGTGCGGGTGCGGTCAACGGTAATGGGCTGGTCCACTCGCTGTGTTTGAATATCGACAATGGTAGTTGTTTGAATGGCATTTTCGCAGTTGTATCCTCCAGCGGGTTCGTTATCTGGAGGTAGATATCCACCTCCAACCAGGTTGTTGAGGAATTCGAGCTGAGCGGCAGCCGGGCCTGCGGCTGCAAGTACCACCATCAACACTTGCGCGGCGCGCATCCTGCAACGAAACGCAACACTTAGTGGCTGGACTCCAGTACCGGCAGGAGCGGTGCGGCTGACTGGGTGGTAAAGTCCAACCACGTGACCGTGTTGGTCTCGCTGCAGGAGTGGGCGCGCGCCCGGAACTGAGATCACACACGTCACTTCATGTGGACTTTACCACACCCGACACCGCCTCGCCTCCAGCGATAGGTGAGAATACATCATACTTTCCTTTCATGTAGTTGATGCAGAAGGAAAATCCTACAGTGTATATCCTAACAGTCATTTCAGGAAATTTTTGAAATTTTCAGACGAAGCAAATCTACGATCGTATAAGAATAATACAATTTTGTAGATAAAGAAGGAAAAAACAGATAATGGAAGGCAGACACTGAAAAAGATATGTGATACAAATATCTTGCAGACGCTGTTTCGGATCAGCAAGAGAAAGCGAATAATTCTATCAAATTCACTTAATCCTCCTCTAAGAATATAAGGAATGCAACATTTTACGTTATATGATGGAGGCGGGCTGAGGACAGCTTAGCCAGGGATATGAAATGCAGAAAGTGAAAGGCTTGGCGCCGAACGTGCGGGTCTCCGGGGTACTGGCTTTGGCGTGCGAGGCGAGAGCACAACTTTCGTGCTTCGGGACAAAGAACAGCTAATAAATGTATTTATTTGTCTGCTATTTTTGCTTACTCACCCTTTTAACTTCACGCCAATTTCATACCATTGACGCCATGTAGCAAATTCAGTGAAATATTATGTCATGAGATAGGCTCTATCGATAGCACTCAAGCCTCCTGGGCAAAGTATGTATAGTTGAGGCTTGTTGAAACCTCCTGGGAGCAGCCCGTAGATTCAAAGGGAAAGTGAAAGTCTGCAGATCATTGCATGCAATCAAATTCAGTTTATATAATGAGAGTTGGGGGAAGCTGTGGCCGAAAGGGAGAGTGAAAATTATTAAAACAAATAAGCATTAAGGAATCTGAAAAAGGATAGAAAGGAATAGAGCAAGAAAAGAGGAAAAGAGGGGAGATAAAAAGAGAGACAAAGAAAAAAAGAAAGGGAATGCAAGGGGAAGAGAAACGAGAGTTGTACCTAAGGCTACATTTTTACCTTCATGTATTACACACTAAATGAAATGCGTCCGGCAACCGTTGATAATAATGGCTATCATTAAATACCTGCATTGAGCCCGTCCCATACAAACCATTAAAGGTAAACTAAGGTAAGAACAGCAACGTCCATATCATGGTAAACATTTCTCTCGAGATAATGGGATTCGACAGCTGTATTAACGATGCTATTTATTATTGTGCGAGACAAAATTAAGGAAAGATGTGACGTTTGTGCGATGCAGTTTTAATCAGAACTGTTCTCAATTCTGGGAGGCTGATCGTGAATTTTCGCGGGTTTTAGATATCATTCAGAAAAAGCAAGAATCGATTTGATATACGCCAAATGGAGAGAAAATAATACATATTACTAAAATGGAGAGAAAATAATACATATTTAAGAAAAATAGCTAATACTTGAGCTTAGAATGATTATCATAAAAGATCTTTGAATCTATGAGCGGCAAACGCCAGGCTTCCTCCGGTGGCTTCTCAAAAGGCCCAAGAGCATAATTCTCAAAAGGTCTCGAGTCTCCCCGTGGGCCGACGATGCGCCAAATCGATTCACAGATTCTGAAGATTCACAAAAAGCCTCATCACAAAAGCTCTCGTATTTATGATTAAACATTTCAAAATCTGATTTGTTTAATATAATCTACCTAGTAAACCTTAATCTCAAATGTCATGGTTACTGTTGAAGAGCTTTTAGCAATTAGGTTGAAGTTCCCATTTATATAATATTTAAATGAATGGC